GTATGTCCATATCTTTGGCACCGTTTCCATTGGGGTATCAATTTTGGGTTTCCCACTGGCTCAATTTGGATTATTAGGTTTTATAATGTCTTAATTTCATAAATCCTTTTAATGTCTTCACCGTTTTCAAATGTTAACATGAATAGCGGCAATGGCTTTTTTATAGCAGTTCTAATAACTTGATTTCCTCTTTCTTCTTCTTTAGTTTCTCTCCTTTGAATATTAACCACATCCAAGATTTTAAATCCACTGTGCTTTAATTCTTCAGCTATATCTTCTGGCTTGCAGGTAAAGTGTAGATTTATTTCACTTTTATTGGTCTGGTTTGTTTCATCTCATATGAATGCCACTGATAGCCTTGGTTTGAGAGATCTCTTGTCATTGTTCTATATTCTTGTTCACCTTTTACGTTTAATTTGATTTCATCATTATTTAATATGGTAGCTATAAAATTGTGTTGCTTACTTATCAGTTTTTGTCTTAACTATTCGAAGTTTTTAACCTGAGTTACTATTATTGGTGGTGGTAATTTTTGTTTCAGTTGTTCTTTTTGTGCAATACTTTGTTGAGCGTTTTCATTTGGGTGGTTTAATTTTGCTTCTTTTTGTACGTTGTATTGTTCTTTGGTTGTGTTTTGAGGTGACACTTCAGGAGATTCTCGCATTTTTCGTTTTTGCTATTTCTTTCGCTTCTTTGTACTATCCAAGCTGTTTCTTTATTGACTATTTCTTCTTCCGAGTCTGTTTCAATATGCTGTTGTTGTTTTTGCATACCTAACATCATCAAACTGTTGTTTCCATATTAGTTTGATTCTCCTGTATCATAGCCTGATTTTTGCGCTTCAGAAGATTGGGTTTTGTTGATTTTCTCTACACATTTTAAAGTTATTTTTATTGGCACACTTTTACTTTTGCTTTTAAACATTAACTTTAGCAATCATTGTTTTTTTGAACGATCACAATTTAGCAAATATGTAAACACACGCAATTGATCTTGCCCTAGATTCCGAGCAGTCTTTTGAAATATTCAACTGCACTCTCCGATAGTCGAACAGATACTTATCTCTTAAATTAAAATTTAAGTAATGCAACATTTTAAGCAATATAACAACCAACAAATAATTAATCTTTAACAAGATTGGCAACACTGTAAATAGAAAATGAAATAAACAGCCGCCGAAACGATTTCAAATGGTATATCTGTATTGTGACGAGGTCACTAAATTTTCCTAGTTTAATTTTGATTTACGCCTGTTAACGTTCGCAAGAACACCCGTAATTTTTATTTCTTAAAAATTAATATTTTTAAACATTTGCGAGAACCCCCGTAATTCAAATATAACATTCTTTATAGAAATTCGAATCGAGCTTTAAATGTTCAAATTCATGTAAATTATATTTTTTTACTTTCCTCGATAATAGGGAAGTTTTTTAATCGTGAAGAAGTCACATTCGGAGTTTATTTAAGATTTTCACGTTTCAGGGTCCCTAGATTATGAAAAACATATTTCCCTATTCTGTCAGTCTGTCATCTGTTGGCGCGACAGCTCATAAACGACTTTATAGAAAAACTTCAAATTTTGAATACAGATAAGGTTCCTTTCTGGCTCAAAACCAGTTATATTTCAGATTAGTTATACACGGGTTAAGAATTAAATATTTTTTTTTAAGTCGGCTGATTTCGACTAAAATTGGTATCTGATAATTTTAGAAGTTAAAGATAACAGATCCTAAATAAGTTTTTAAAAATTAAAATGGCGTTGACAGGAATTGTATTTTAAACAAAAAAGGTCCCCCTTGAATGGAAATAATAAAAATCGCCATTTTGGTTTGTGGAACTGGACATTTTAAAAGCAGCCAATCATTATTATTCAATAACGGTGAACGTGACGAAGAATACCGAGCGGACGCGAAGTGAGATTTCGGGTGGAATCCAGAGGACGATCAATGGAGGGAAAATTTATTATTTTTTTATTTTAGAAATATATAGAATGTTCGACATCAAACCCTAAAATAATTAATAAAACCCTTAAGAAATATTAAGAGAAACTACATACCTACCTACCTAGTAACTTTTATAAAGAGTAACTTTTTTTTGTTTGAAAAGCCTGTTTAGCTAATTTCGTAGTGTAGACATAAAAATTCAACTTTTTTCGCAATTTTTTCCTAAGATAAATCGAGAAAATAGCATTTTTAGTTTGTTTGGGCCGTAAGCCCCAATGGTTTTTTAAATGTTTAAAATAATACATTTACGTAACTAGTAAAGGGACTTTTGACTAGCAGCATTACATTCAAAAAAACATTTGAGTCAAAAAATATGTCATTATTCAGGCCAAAAACGGATGAATGCGAAATTTGTAATAAATTCAAGGAAGGCTACATCACAGAGGAAGACTAAAACAACCATATGACACGAAAAAGGGAAGCTAGAAGCGAAATGGAAAGATAAAGAAAACGAAAAATTTGTATATACCGTCAATCTTCAGGCTGTTTTACTCTCACCAAAATCTAACATTAGCAGCCTTTACTATAAGACGAAATTGTGCGTGCATAATTTGTGTTATTTTGACATTAATAATAAGGATGGATATTGTTATCTACGGCACGAGGGAGAAAAGGGGCTTAATGCAGAAGAATTTTCATCTTGCTTTCATTTTTTTTCATTGAAACCCACGTTATTCCATTCATTGATGAAAAAAATAGAAAGATCGTTTTTTGGAGTGATGGCTGCGCAATACTAAAATCGTAATAGCGTGCTGGCTAATGTTGCTATTAATGTGACAAAACAATATCAAATAACAATTGAACATAAGTATCTTGAAGTGGGACACACCCATATGCCAGTGGATTCAATGTATTCCACAATAGAACGCCGGCGTGTGAAGTATGTTCCAGCCGAATACGCATTTCACTGCAAAAAAGCAAGAATGAATCCTTGACCGTATAATGTAAAATATTTGGACCATACCTTCTTCAAGTCGTTTAAAAATATTGAAATGGTAAAAAGTATCAGTCCTGAAAGAAAGCCTGGATATGCGAAGGTAAATATTATTCCTAATGTTGCCTTTATTCTTTTATTAGTTCCTTAAATTAATATTTTTAAGCTATTGCATAGCTTTTATCGCGGGCTTTGAGCGCGGCGACCGAATCAAGAAATTTCGTAACGACCGTAACGAAAATAAACCTAACACCTCCACTCCGACCGGCACAGCGGTGCGGCGTTGAATGCCAAGGTTTTATCCGAATCCGACACTATTCGTATTAGTATGAAGCGGAGTTAAATATACGTCTGCGGACTGGAACGTTTATACAATACAAGAACTAGAAGAGCTTTCTCTGACTTCTAATAAATTTGTATCACAAATGTTCCCGGCTGGCGTAAATATTAGATAATTTTTTTTTGCAAGATTTATAAAATATTAATTTTAAGCTATTGCATAGCTTTTATCGCGGGCTTTGAGCGCGACGACCGAATCAAGAAATTCCGTAACGAAAATAAACCTCCCACCTCCCACTCCGACCGGCACAGCAGTGCGGCGGAATTACCTACATGTATTGTAAGATAATAAAAATATTTTAAACAATATTAACTTCTCATTTATTCAATAAAAAAAATCGAAAATCAAAAAATCGAAACATCGAAAAATCGATACATCGAAAAATCGATACATCGAAAATGGAAAAATCGAAAAACCCACTCCGACCGGCACAGCGGTGCGGCGTTGAAAGCCGTGCATCGTCTAACGTCGTTTCAGTTCGGCAGACTTCAGCACGGTGTTTGTGTGCGTGCGACTAGACGTATGCGTGTAGACTAGCTGCTAACTGTTCATAACTGATTCTATCTCTTTTAGACACAATTTCGGAAAAATTGAATTTGAAAATGAATAATGATTCACAAGAATCCACAACAAAATATGGGACCACCATTGACGCGGTATTTTCCAGATATTTAGATGATATCAAGTCTCAAACTTATGTTTCTTATTTCAGTTACCATAAACCTATAGTTTCAATGATAAAAAATCCTGAATAACCTACATGTATTGTAAGATAATAATATTTTAAACAATATTAACTTCTCATTTATTCAATAAAAGAAAAAAAATTGTTTTCTTATCGGTCACCACGCTCAAAAAGTGTAACTTGAATTAATATCAAAGAAAAAACTTGAATATCAAAAAAAAATACTGCATAAATAAAATAAATAATTATAATTGCATAAGTTGATAAAAAATGCTATGCAATAGCTTTACCGCGGCAGTCCCCGAGTGCCACACGTATTTTTTTATTTTAGGTCAATGACATTCGTGGTTTAAAGTATACACCCGAGGGTGAAATATTTTACAAACTGCGATTGTCGGAAGAATGGACGATTCTTCCACAGCGAAGACGACAAGAACTCAGTAGAAAAACATGGGCTGAACTGGATAGTCTTCACCAAAATAAAATTGAAATCTCAGCTCGAAAATATTCTGAACTCCAAGATCTTAAGTCAACTTTACCAGTCGATTATCATGGCTTTTACAATGATTTGCCACATGAATAATTACATAATAAAAAATTATTATGTTTTTTTAACGAAATTATTTTATTTTAAGTTTACTTTTGTTTTTAAAATGCTTAGTTTGTCGTTTTTGTTCAATGTCATTGCAATTCAAGTTAATAAAAAAATACTGCGATTTTTATTCGTAAAGAGAATTTTCAAAATGCTAACTCCATTTTATGGATGTAGAAAAAAAAATAATTTTTTTTTACATATGTCGTTCTATGCACACTTTTGTATTAATCAAGACAGATTTTTCTGTATCCTGAAAATTGGGCTTCATGTGAGTTAGCAGGTTAACACATTTAGCCGACGGTATACGACTAATAATAATCATGCAAATACAGACCACTAAAATATTAAGAATAAGAAGAATCATACATGCACCACAACAAAATTATTCGTACCGCATATTGAGCTTACTTAATTTTATTCAAATAAAACTATTATTAACTAACCTTAAACCTCTTATCTTGTAGTACTTTTTTAATGGCTACCAACTCCGAAGTTTCACATAATTTGGCCTGATAAACGACTCCAAAGCTGCCGTTTCCGATTACTTTGGTATCTGTATAAGAGACTTCCTGCGGCCTGTCTGGACCTTGACCAGGTGTTGCTACTACTGTCGTCACTTTGCTTCCATCCTTACCTATATAACCACCACCAAGAAAGAAAAATAAGATTATTAAGTAAATCATTCATTTATATGTTAAAATAAAGAATAATAAAAAATAACTTTTTCGGTAAAACAGATCAACTAACTATACTATATATGAAAAATCTATTTGTATTAGTTAACAATATAACGTCAGTTGTGATTCGACAACTTTCAGTACTGTGTTTATAGTCTAGATCACAGATTCTTCCAAGGGGGACAAACGGGAAGCGAGGAGGCATTAAAGAAGGGAGGCCGTGGCGTACCTATCTTATCAGAATCAAAACATTTTAAAAATATTTAAAAAAATGTTTATAAAATATAGTGCACTAATACATATTTCAAATAAATATTTATGAAATATTTTTAAATGTGTGCTGATAGAATACCTGTTTTCAAGAAGAAATATTTTATCTAGCTATGTAAACAATTTTATTGTACATTTGTCATTTATGTAATTTCTACTTTTTAATTTGAATAGATAAATAAATAGATAAATTAGTATGTAGAGATAATACGCAATCATGTTTTAATATTTCATATAAAATTAATTATAGACTACGGGGGGCGTTGGATTTTTTTTAAGGGAGAGTAGTCCAGAAAAAGTTGGTTTAGATCAAACAGACCAGAATGTACTTTTAGTGATTTTTATATTTACTACCACAAAAAAAATCTATGAATAATAAAATAAGTGATACGCTTCTTAAAAATAAAGCATCTTTCTGGTTCATCTAATCGATTAAAAACCCTCACCCGACTGATACTTCCATCGGTGTATTCTCAGTACGGGGCCGGCAATAAAAACTACCTGAAACAGTGTCACTACAGGCCGCAACCTTTTTTTATGAAAATCAGATTCCCATTACGGGGCCGCCAGCCGATAATCCCCTTCAATTTAAATTTTGTTTACAACTATACATAACATATTTCATATTTAAATAAATCTGCGTGGGGAAAAATATACTTTTATTATTAATTATTATGTTCAATTCTATTCGAAATAAATGTACTTTGTAGTTCTGATAAGAACTGTTTAGTAAATCGATGTCAGCATTTTAGAAATCAATTGTATTAGACAATTGAAGTAGATCTTTGCTGATATTCTGATCTTTCCTTAATTCACTAAGTATTTTGTTTAATCGTCTGTCTAGATCAGTGGTTCTGAACCTTTTTGTGGACGCGGAACAGTTTTGGCAATAACAGACAAACAGCGGAACACCATGTGTATTATTAACGTATTTACATTAACATAATTAATTTTTACTAATTTAGTACTGAATACACATATAGAACAAATTAAAACAGTAGGTAAAGACAAAAATAACGAGTTTGGGCTAAAAATAGTATATTATGTAACAAGAGTTGTAAGTAACCCATTACGCACGAAGTGAAAAAGTTTACGCACGAAGCCGCGCAGCGGCGAGTGCGTAAATTTCACGAGTATGCTAAAGAGGTAAAATCCGCACATTTCGGTGGTTCGAAGATTCATCTAAGTTTGCACAAAGTTGTAGTGTATTACATAAGCTCTGTTAATTCATTGAAAAATAAATGTTTCTGCACAGTCTCTGAAAATTTGTGACACGATAGCGTAGCAACTTGTGAATATCTGTTACGTGTGTTCAAGGATATGGATTTTGCTGGTAATCGGAAAACTATTCATTTTTTAAGCGATGGGGCTTCAACCCAATACCGAAAAATGTTCCTCTTGATGGTTAACTTCATTTCCCAAGAGTTGCAAGTCGAGGAGTTGTGCTGGCACTATAGCGAAAAGAGGTACGGTAAAGGCGCTCCAGATGGAGTTGGTAGTCTTAAAGCGTACAGCAGATGCTATTGTGGCTAGAGGGACCGATCTACCAGACATAAAGTCTTTTTTGTATCATTTAGAGCGTAACTGTAAAACTAAACTGTTGTGAAGTCCAGTCAGACAATTCAGAGCTGCAAAAAATAGAGACGAAATTGCCAGAAAAGTTACCGAGTTATAAAGGAATTTTACAGTGTCACGAAGTAGCCTGAGCTAAACAAAATAGTATATCTTCAGATATTCGGAAGCTCATCTGCCTCAACTGTTCTGCTTCCATGAAATGTACTCATTATTCCTTAGGCATCTACAACTTACTGCAAAAAAGTATCCATTTGCATGTTTTTTTTGTGCTTTTTTAGGTTGCATATTTACTTATTACTTATTTCTGATAGTTATTTCCTTAACTGATCATTCGCAGGAGAACCACCAAAAAGAAGACTTCACTATGAAGATGTTGATTCCAGTTCTTCTGATGAAGACAGAAATACGCATCCAAGAAAAAGACTTCATTTTGCAGATGTATATTCAAGTTCTTTCAATGAAGACGAAAATGCGCAATTAGCTTTACGTCTTCAAGATAATAAGAGGTTTCTAGTTACAGAGGATGATCATAGTTTTCTTCGGGAAAGATCTTTGCAGAGTAGCTCTGATCAGAATATTGTTCCAGAAGATTCATTATCCGTTCCTTCAGAGCGTCAGAACATCTTTCCTCGACAGTCAGTCCCTGTTGAGTTTAATGAAAATAGTTGCCATAATATAACTAACTGCAATGAAAATGACTACGTTGTCGTAAAATTTTGCTCAAAAAAGTCACTAAGCATTACATCAGTCTACTAAACTAGAGGGTTATCCTGATGATTACTTAATTAGTTTTCTTAAAAAAAAAAGACTGATACAAATAAGTTTTTCTTCCCTGATCGAGACGATATTTCAATGAATGATAAGAGTAATATTGTTACTGTTCTTCCTCCATCTACTGTTAGTCATCGTGGATATTACATTTTTGATGCATCATTGATATATCATTGTTCAATAACTTAAATTAATTATTTTGTAATATTTTAAAGCTACGTTATTTTTTTCCTACATGAGGAAATGGAATGTTTTTTACATAGTTTCTTCAACAGAATCGAATTTTGTATTCCTATTTTTTGCGTATTATAACTGTGTCTTTAGTTTTTTTTAGTAAGAATTTTTAAGTATCTGATTTATAATGTTCCTAAATGTTCACGCCTGATGGAAATATGAATTTTAAAAATAAATAGGTTTTACTTTTAATGATTGTAGTTATTATTTATTACTAATGAAAAATTATGCTTATTTTAGGTAAAATTTAGACAGAAAGAAAAATTTCTCACTTCTGTGAATATTTTGTCACCTCCGTGATTTTTGTTTTTCGATTACCTTTAAAATAAATAGAAAGCTGAAAATGTGTGACTACATGTCATCAAATACATCTTATGGCGGTTTTCCACTAAACGGACAAAACAAAAACAAAACACAAACTGGTATCGAGAAAAACAAAACTGCAACTTTTCTCAAACTTTTTGAAGACTGGCGTGTTTTACGACAGTTGGAGTTTTGTTTCTTGAGTCCCGCTCGGAAGTGGTAAAATCAAAAGGTTTTGACGTGTTTTGAAACTCGAGTCTGTTTACTGGAAACGGTCGTGTTGTGTAGTCTAATAACAGCCGTATGCATAGTCGATCGCCAGCGAAAGCCCAAAAAGCTGGCGACTCGCCGGAGATTGTCACCGGAATGTCATTTCACGCAAGTTTTCATGTTCTTTTATAGGAAAAAATTTGATATTCGTTCATTATTTTTTGAGTTTTAAGAAATGAATCATGAATAAAATGCGAGAGATACCGGTGATAATCCCTATAAAAGAAAATAAAAACTTGCGTGAAATGACATTTCGGTGACAATCTCCGGCGAGACGCCACCTTTTTGGGCTTTCGCCGGCGGATCGCCAGCGAATCGCTGGCGAAACGCCGGAATGAATCTCTATGCATACGGCTGTAAATTTTGTTCCAAATTGGTATCTATAGGTAAGTAAATAAAGTATTTTTTTATAGATAAGTAATTTATTTTGAAACACTGGATAATTTTATATAAGTATATTTATATGTAGAATATATATATATATATATATATATATATATATATATCTGTGTGTCAGAGACAGACTAGGTTAAGTTTAAATATTGTCCATTATAGGTTTTGATGATGTCATAAACATCTTTTAAACTACTTTTATATGTATTTTCAATTTGGACCTTCTTAAAAAATAAATAGATGTATAAATATAAATAGAATACTGAAAAAAATGTGTTCTGACTTCCTCGCAACAACCAGTGGAAAAGGACCGAAAACAAAAACAAAACTGTAACAAAATGTAGTCCGCTTGTTTTTCAAGTTCCGAAAAACACAAACAAAATAAACTGAACTGTCCGTTTAGTGGAAAATCGTCTTTAAATAGTGTGTTATGAAACAAAAATAAGTTTTAAATTCAAATATTTTCTTTCTTTTTTTAATACCAGTTTCCGTATTTGGTGAGAATGACCCAAATATAATACAGAATTGAATGAATTAATTTTAGTTTCAAACTGACATATATATGAAGTCTCTGACATTTGGTTTATTAGGGAATTTTAGGTCTATTTCCTTGCATCGAAAGTGTAGCACTAAGTTACACAACTTCAGAAGTGGCGTATCTCGATGCAAAGGAAAATATTTATAATGATGTTGCAACTATACTTAATGCGCAGGGCACCGCCTAAATACAATCAAGCGGTTTAGGTTTGTAACCAATTTTACTGCCTGTCGAAGGAAAAAAAATACGAATTTTTATTATAGATATCACTATTTATTCAAAATACACATCGACAACTACAAAAATTTTAAAATATAGTCATTAAATTTTAATCGACGCTACCCTTTTTATTTTATTGCAACACCACTTAATGCATTGTCCAGAATTGTTAACAAAAGAACAAGACACCTAATTATTTTTCTATTTTACTCTTCCTACAATACACACACAGGTGGGACTAATAGAAAAATAAAAGTAGTCTTTGGCAACAAAATTAAAATTTTCTAAATTCATTGGTACACGTCACGGGACATAGGGACATAAAATTTTCAACTTTGACAATGGGCCATGTTCACATGTGAGATATGCTGTTTTATAAATTATATTGTAATAGTTAGTCGCTATACAAGTTATTCTAAATAGTCAGTTCGTTAAAAAAGCCAAAAGTTTTTAAATTAAGCCCAATTGAAATTTAAAATTTGAAATTATACGTCATCGGGAATAGACCAATCATCTTGTGTCGAAGTTTTTTTTGTTATACAAAACCAAGCCAACGAACAAACCAACACACAGAATGTCGAAGTGAACGCACATCTAAGTGACATTTAAAATTGACACCATCTAACCTTAGTTTTTTGTTTTGGTTTAATTTTATTATTAATATATTAAAATATTTTTTTTCTAATTTTGACATATAGGCATTTTTTGTAATCGCAGCAAGTGTTAAAATAATCTAGAAACAGATTTTGTTAGTGAACCTAGTAATAATTATGATACCAAAGAATGCTGCAGAGCACCTATGAAATTTTGAGTTAAAAAATATGCCATATTTTTAGGCTATTTTTATACCCTTTTCAAAAATTTTATGCTCCTCGTTTTTTGCAAAACTTAAAATGCTCTATAGCTTCGAACAAAGTCAGCAAAGCACCTCTATTTTATAAAGTTTTTTCTGTAAAAACAGCAACACCATATATTTATGCACTTGAAATATTATATTTTTAAAAATACATGGTGCTTGCTAACCTTCGAAAGAAGCCAGCAGAGCAATTCGGTTTTTTAAAGCTTTTTTCTAAAAACCACACCCCATTTTTAGAATATTTTTAGACTCTTGAAATATTGTAAAACTTTACTAAAAAAAATGCTATTTTTAAATAATACAGGGTGCTTTGTTGGAACAAAGTCAGCAGGACACTTCAGTTTTTTAATTTTTTTTTTTATATATAAAAACAACTACTTATGACACATGTTTAGGCTGTTTTAAAATCCTAAAAATGTGGTAAGTACATTTGTTTTCAGAAAAAAACTTTGAAGTCAGCAAGGAATTGCGAATTTTTTTTAAAATGCCAAATTTCGAATATTTTATAATATTGTAGGAGCCAAAAAACGTGGTGTGGTTTAAAAAAAAACTGGGGTGCTCTGCTGGATTAGTTTGAAGCTAACAAAGCATCCCGTAATTTTTTATTTTATAATACTCAATAGCCTAAAATGAGACATAGCTGTTTAAACAAATTGTATTTTTAAAAATAGCAGTTTTTTTTCGAAAAGCTCTATAATATTTCAAAAATGTGGTGAGATTGTTTTTTTTTTAAGTTTTGAAAATCCGAGGTTCAGAGCTAGTAAAGCTCTGCTCGTCTTGTTACATAAAATAAAGGCATTTTGTAGCCGGTTATATAGTTATTTTGTAACTGCATATCTTACCCTTTTATTTTTTCAGTTGGTTGTAAATATGTGGCTTCATAGAAGAAGTGATGAACTATTTGTAACATCTATTCAGTGTTATTGGAAAGGCTCTAATTTATCAAAATGCGTAAATATTGATGTACACTTGGCTAGATTGTTAAAGAAACCTCTTCATCCACTACAGGAAAATAAATCAGTACTTTTATATTCTTAGGATTTGTATATATATTTTTTATTTGTAAATAAATTGTTTTTACTTCATTTTTCTCATTTTTTATTAAAATATTAATAAATAAAATTTTCACAGATTTTTATATTTTTGTTTGTAAACAATAATTGAAGAGTTTTTATTAAAAATCACCAATGTTAATAATAATAATAATTTAAGTCAATATTATTCTTTCTCCTTTTTTAAAGCTACTATCAATAAAGGTATTACTTGCTTGACCTATGATCAATTTTTAAATTTTGTGATATATTTGGTTCAACAGAAAAAAAATTATAACCCTTTGACATTGGTTGTTTTTACTTAGATTTTCATAAAAAATAAACGGAACTGCAAACATGTTTTACTATCGTAATAACGAATAGCAACATTAAATTTTTTTTTTACATTTATCACTGTTGTCATTTTTATAAAGGATTGATAAGAAGGCACACTTTCTGGTTTTTTGAAAAAGGTAGCAAGAATTGTGATATTTTTAAATTTATCACCAGTGATACCACATGTAGTTACCCGATTTATTGGAATATATAGACTTTGCTACCACATTCAACTGAACTTGGTTGTTTTTAATATTTATCACTGTGACATAAGCGTTTTTGTCAAAATGTTTCATTTTAAACTGCTGTAAATAGGTGCCTTTGTTTTGGTAGTTTTAGTCCCAAAAAAATTTATGCATATACAAGTACTCATTCCTCTTTGATTTGTTCGAAAAGTTAAAATTTTATAAAAAATTACATTGGCTGTTTAAAAACTCATTATAATCCCTGAAATGTGATAATTAGGTAAATTAAATTAAAAAAACAAACAAACAAAATTTATTAAATTAATATTTACTCTTACAAAATAGGTTCTTGTAAGTTAACAAACAATTATGCAGATATTACTAAGTAAATTTACTTGCTTAAAATTCACACACAAATGTGGTTTTAACTTGTTAAATTAACTAACCCTTCTTATAACTCTTTCCACATGTATTCTTAGAGATGCTATTCATTTACTTAATTGTACATCTTCTGGAGAACTTTTTTCATTCTGTGATACACTAGGTGTGGCTTTACTAAAGTGCATCCCATGTTTTCAAGTAGCTAAATATTCTGAAACCCATATCTGCCATTATATGGGATCCAGGAACCAGTTTGTTTAAATACCCACATTTTTCTATTATTTCTTTATCACTAGTTCTTCCACAAAATGATGAATAAATTCGGTATCTTCAAAACTTTCAGGAGATTCTGCATTTTCTTCCAGAAGGGTTTTTAGGTTATACACCTAGTAGCCTCATTTTCAATTTCCTGAAGGGGACAATTAGCAGAAATTGCTGCTATTCTACATTTTGATAATCCGGTGTATTTTTATTAAAAAGTTTACGAGAAACATCGCTAGTAGAAGGTTGATTTTCTTCTTTCCAAATTTCTAGGAACACTAATAAATATTTTTGAAGATGAATGTGAATCATTATCACATTCTGGAACAAAACACTTTTTCGTAGTCATAATATTTATTTATAAAAAGTACAAAATAAACACTCAAATTCCAAATAAATTATTGATGGAGACACTATGACAGATGACATACAGTGCTGCCGTTTTGCCATTTTCTGAATTATTAAGTGACTTTTAAAACAATAAAACTTTAAATATAGTAAAAGTTTAAACAGAAACAATACTTTCAAAAAACATTTGATATTATATATTTAAAAGATATTTGTTTAACGATGTTTTAGAAGTCTAAAAGTAAGAAGGAGTACACAAACGAACGTACATCACTTCTCGTAAACCTTCTAGCCGGCAACGTTGTGCGCTAGCTCCTATTGGTCTATTCCCGGTGACGTCATTAATTTTAAAAAAATTCATAACTCCGGCAAATGAATAGATAAAAAAAAAATAAAAAAAATGTAGTTTTATTTTTAACTCTACTATTCATAAAAAAAATTTCAAAATTTTTGAACATGCCCCATTATTTCTTCGGCCCCCAGTGACATCTGAAGGGCAATATTTTGCTAAAGTACGTTATAAGTGGTAAAGTTTAAAATAGAGTAATAAAAAAAATTGACTGTTATAGTCCATTAATGAGATATTTGAGCTTGGTGAGTTCTACAGATATTCGCAATGTCTGGTCTAATATGAGATAATGCTACTTATATTTCATCCTCCAAATTAGTATTTTACCTTTTTTAGGTTTTATACCGGTCAATATTGAAAATCCAAATTCGCATAGATGAGATGTGGAAAAAGTAACAAAACGTTAAGTGCCTTTTTGGAAATAACTGGATATTCTTCTTGCATAGAAAAATCCAATTTTTTTCCAGACCTTCTTCTTTAAACTTTATTTTTAAAGTGCGGTCAGATGATAAATAAATAAAATCTTCTCTCAGAGAGAATTCGTTACTAGATGTAACCACTTCACAGAATGGATTTCGTATCCAGTCCTATTTTTATATATTAAGAGATGGAAAGTACCTATTTTTTTCTTGTAGTAGGGATAACTGCTCTATTGCCATGGGGATAATTTCGAAACTATATTTTTAATGTTTATTTAATGTATCCATCAAAATTACCCTAAATCCAAGCAACATTAGTTATGACTGAGTAGGTATTTTAAATACTTTTCAAACGAGGTGTCATTTGCCATAAGGTCCCATTTAAAATTATTGGTCAGAGTGGTACACTGACGTCACTTATGATCATTAGTTCACCTGTTACCTCCAGTAGAGAAGCTTGCAATAGTTTATTTTCACCCTACAAATTTCATTAGTCTAAGTATACACGTTGAAAATAAACGAGGTTGAAAATAAACGAGGTTGAAAATAAACGAGAAGGTATTTTATAGTAGCACTGTAAGTTAATTTTAAAATCATATTTCTTTTTTCTTTTCGCAACTGGTAAAACAATGAATTTTTTGTAACCGGTTACATAATGTTCAACTTTATGTAACTAGTAAGATAAAGTAATAATTTTGACACTTGCTGCGATTAGAACAGATGTCACTTTATATGTCAAAATTAGAAAAATATTATTTTATTTCACGATTTTGTCCATGAATAAGAATCTTTAAGTTTTTCACTTTGATTAGACATTATATTTTAAATATTCGCAGCCGGAATTAACATAATATTGTTTGACGAGTGCTATAATTAATATTGTAACTAATATTATTTGGAAATTATTATAATAAATATTGAGGAAATAATAGTAATAAACGTAGGATCTTTTAATACCCACCTGATTTAACTTTCGCTGTAGAAATATACCTATCAACATCGTCATCAAAAATTTCTTTACGTTTTTCTTTCGCATTGGTCTTCGATGCCATTTACTCTATATAAAATTTTGATAGCTAAAATAAGGCAAATCTCAATTAATATCGTCGTCTTTACAGTAACACTGTTGCCATTGTATACAGTAGAAGACGCAAAGCCTTATAGTTAAAAATTGACTATCTTGAGTAATCATTAAATGATATTTGCAATATGCAAAAGTGCATTTATTTGTCGATATATCTCAAAATATTAATTCTATCCAAAAAAAATTATATCACTTCAATGATATACAGGGTTTGCTAATAAGTAGGGAACCAAGTCGATAATATCCAAACGCTTTGTTTAATTTGAAAGAGTCTAAATATTCTTATAATTCATTTGGTTGGAGATAAAAGAAAATTAAAAATGTATGGGTAATCAAAATATTCTTGTATTTAATAACGACATTAGGGTGGCCCAAGAAAAGCGAATATTTTTTTTATTTAAGTCTCCTATGAAAATATGTTAGTTTATCATGTTTTAAGAGCCCTCTCCAAAGGGCAGCTTAAAAAAATTTTTTTAAAGGGTCGCTCCGAATTTTTATAAAATTCCAAAATCGTCGAAAACCGGATTTTTTTGTTTTAAATTTTTTTTCTCATTATTTCATTTTTTTTTTATAAGAAAAATCATAAAGATCCTAAAAATATCAAGTCGAAATTTTATTATTGAAAGGTCACTCCGAATTTTTCTAGGGTAACAAGTCGAGTACTTTATATCTTTTCGAGCTACTATTAAACGAAAGAATATTAACGAACTTTATATTTTTTTTCTTTAATTTTACATATTAAAGAATGAAATTGAAGCACGAGAAACGAAAAAAAAGTTTAATGAATACATTAAAAAAATAACTACTAGAAATAAAAAAAAAAACATTTTTATCAAATAAAAAACAATTATTAATGCTAGAGTGGTTGGGAGAAACCACCAGCTTGGTATAAACAAGAAACAAACCTATTAGTCCAAGAGCTAGTAACACAAATTTCATTAAGTGTTTGATGCACTTTGAAATTTTGTAATTTGAAATCATTTGGATGGAAAAGCAGATATACCTGTGTTGGCTAGACCCACCCCGGGACACCAGGTACTGCGCATAATAGAAAGGGGTCGTAAAATATGACCCAAAAAAAGGATTTGATTCAGAGGCCAACAAACAACAATTGAAAGTTTAGGTAATTCTAAAAATACTACTAATTTAGGCAGACACTTTTAAGAGGGTTTATAATTAATAAATCAACCCCAAAGTTGATTTTTTTTAAATATGATTTGAAGTGTTTGATTCACGCTGAAATTTTAATAGCATAGCGTCTTAATTAAATAAAAAAAAAAATAATTCCAAAAAGGCAGACACGTTTTCCGGGGTTTAATTGCCGGCCAACATAAAAATAAGTCCTATTTACTATAGTAATAAATTGTTATATATTATTATAAGCGATTCCAAACTTCTATCAATATGTGCAAGTTGGTGGTTCGAGCCCCGAAACTTTTTTTCTTTTTGTTTTTTTTTTACATATTACATATAAGAATAGTCTTTTATTTTAATTTAGTGGCTACACCGTTAGCGGTGACCGCCTGGAGGTACACAGACTTCCTACTTCACAGTAGGTGAAGCCAAAAGCATGTCACAGAGTATAGAAAAGACTCACTTGGCGGAAACTTTATTGATTAATTGAATATTCAACCAATCAAGTAAACAGAATTCCGTATCAAATCTACTCTAAAATGCAAACTAGCAATTTATTTGGGGTAGTAGTATATTTTGGAAGATTAGTAGATTCTATTTACATTAAACACGGATCGAAAAAGTATCATTTTAATTACACCGGCACACACAAAAAAAGTTGTTTGTACATCAGACACGACCTACCTACCTACCTACCGGCATGTATTTTGACCCGCTGAATCCGAATTTCAAGTCAGTTTGGGCCGTCCACCCTTCAATATCCACCCTTGCAATATCTCTAAAAACTGATGTAGGAACTGAATTGTTGGTATCAAACTTTTTTGTTCTCTCAGCGGATCGAAATACATAAGAATTATGCTTGGTTTCGATTCATACGTGTGCCGGTTTATGAAACTTATCTTTCATTTTTGTCAGAAAAACCTCATAAAGTTAGCATCACTAACACTATGCAGTACCAAAGAGATCGGATAGAATAAATAGATACGCATTGCATTTACATTGTTTATCCTATGTTCGCAATATAATCCTGACCTCAAAAACGTATTAAATTTTATTTAAATTTAATAATATATTCCCAATTAAAAAAATGGAGAATTCATATGGCAGACATTTTACTGACAGCGTCTAGTTTGAGCTTAAGTTATATTATGCTTTTTTGTGAATTAGAGTATAATTCGAATATTGAATTGTTTATTAAGGACATTTTAGGATTGTGAGGAAATATGTAGTGTATCAAATTACATGGAATAACAATGTTACGCGGCCAGTTCTAAAGTAAGGTTATGTCAGCACAGACAGGTTATGTCAGCACAGACAGGTGTACATAAGGAATAGGGTTGGTTTGATTTATATATTGTATATTATATATTGTAAACGCATTGTTTTAAGACCGACCAGAAAATATACACTTTCTGAACAATTTTTCGTCAATAAAATAACGTTTTGCCGATCAAGACCAGAAAGTATACGTTAGTGACCGGTAAAAACTTTTTTCTACTAGCACTGTCCAAAGTAGGCTTTTGCGCTTCGAAATACAACCGTAAAGTTGACGTTTTCCGCGAACTGACATTAAGTGACAGCTTTATCGCTCGCCTAATTTAAATTTGATATAATATATTTCTATTTTATAAATGATTTTCAAGTTATTTGTACGTAGTTTGTTGTTTTATTATCCAAGTTAACATTGACTTTGCATATCAACTCATGATTATCTTAGTTGCTTTGTTGCTCGCCTAATTTAAATTAGATATTTTACAATATTTCTTTCTAATAAATGATTTCAAAATTATTTATACGTAGTTACAGGTTTTTTGTTATATTATTCAAGTTAACATGGACTTTGAATATCAACTGCTTTTTTCATGATTAACGTAGGTATAGGCAACACATTATACACTACTCACGACAAATTATCAGTTTTTATAACTATTTCTTAAAATAATGTAGAAAAAATATTGTGTGCATTTTGAGAGAAAAGTTGATTGCCGCTTTCGACAGAGTGCCGCGCTTTGCTACGCGTCGCGCGGTCAATTTTTTGTCTCAAGCGGAAAGTATCACTTTTCGCTCTTAATACACAAACAGCTATTACCGGTCCCTGTTTTTCATTTTTCCGTTCGCTGTTTGATAATACAGTCTGCCTTGATTTCGTTACTATGGCAACAACGTTCCGATTAATTGCCAAGTGACAGTTCGTTGATTTTTAATTTGTTGTTTATGTCAAACTAGTTTTTGCAACTTTAAAAATATGGATTTTAGTATGTATTTGTTAATCACTTTATTAAATTAAATAAATAATTGAGTTTACATCGAAGTGTCGGTTTAAAACTATATTGTACATCAAGTGACCGAAAATTTTGTTAAGCAGGTCTCGCCCAGGAATCAGCTTATCTCGACCTGCAAAACACTATTTTCCGGTCTTGTAACGTAAATAACTATTAGCATTCTTTGTTTCAATAATAATGCTGTTCTGTCTTTTTCTGAACAGGTTTCCTGAGAAATTTTTGCACAAATATATTTACTTTTCATGTATTTTTTATCAATGAAACTAGAATAACAAAAACGAAATTTAGCGGTTACAAAAATGTTACGCCAATTACATAACGACTTTTTGAATTCACCCTGTGTATATTGAAAATTATTTCTTTAAATTCACCTTTGATTCAAAGAACGTTTAAGATTTAAATATTACATAATTTTTATAAAATTGAATAAAAGAACCCTCACAAAACAGTACGTCATTGTGCGTTGTGCCCTACCCCTTTCCTCGACTGGTTTATGGTGCGGAGAAAACACTGTATTGTTTAGAGTGTCAAGATAAGTCTATCTTAGGTAATAATTACGTCTATGTTAAGTACTCATTCATTAGAATGAATCATAAGTCAGTTTAATGGAAGTTAGGAGTGTTACCAATTATTTTCTGCTGATGTATAAATTGATAAAAGAATCCTCCCGAAACAGTACGTCATTGTGTGTCATACCCAACCCCTTTCCTCGTCCGGTTTATGGTGCGGACAAAACAATGTATTGATTTTCTGCTGATGTCGTGTTAATGGAAGGGCAGGGTCCAAATGACAAGCGAATCAAATCAGCAATGTGTTGTTTTACAATGATCTTTGATGTACACCAGGAAAATCAAACTGTTACTTATTTCAGACATCGACTAGGGATTAGCACTATTCACATTTTAATACCCATGCCTGACCTAATAAGTGGTTGGTCTACGGTAAGCACTCCTTGTCTTGTTTACTATCGGTAATGTGCATATTATTGCTACTGATATACTGTCTTTCTAAGAATAAAAGTCGTATCTGATAATACGACCAATAATGCTAAATATTTCAGATACAGCAATTCTGTTTAAAAATACAGCCGAGTTTGTAGATATGACAATTGAATGTAAAACATGCATTTCTGCTGCAGATAAGACTATATATATATTAAAAACATGACGGGCTAGAGTCGAACTTTTACAAAGTAGATAGTACCTCCAATATGGCAAAAAAACGCAGATACTACTTTTATGTTTACTACTATTGTGATGCCTCTTTGAATTGTTTACATTTTCATCGATGGAAATACCTATGTATCAACATTGCTTCGTTTGGTCGCTAGAGATCAACAATGTTCGATAAAAATATCAGTTTTATCTTTAATCTCCAGAATGCAGCCATTTTAAAAGATCAAACTTGGTACGAATACTAGATGTATGGCCAAATAAAAGAATCCCGAACAATTTTTAACACGCTTATATTAGCTTCACCTGTATGTATGTTTCTAACTCTCCTTTGGACTCAAGTGGCTTATTACTGTCAGTATATCTCACTAAGTCAAGTTCGTTCGTTGGCCGAGCGGTCTAAGGCGCGGGTTTTCGATTGCCAGACTCACCGATCGTGGGTTCTAATCCCCACGGCTGAAAAAAATATTTTTTTTTTCAGCAATTTCAACTTACAAATTTTTTTTTAATAATTAATCGAACTAAAAAGTAAAAAAATAAATATAGTTTAAAAAACTAAAAAACACGCTTTTATAATTCATCGAACTAAAAAGTGAAAAATAAATATAGTTTAAAAAACTAAAAAACACGCTTTTAGAGCATATCAAACTAAAAAGTTAAAAATATTTTTTTTAACACGCTTTTATTCAAATAAGCTTAAAACAATAATAAATGGAAAATACTAGTATTATTGTGAAAAAAGCGTGGGGCGCTTTGTCCATATTTCTCGTACATCGAGCGCCCGACGCTTTTTTCACAATAATACTAGTATTTTCCATTTATTATTAACTTTTTAGTTTTTTTAAACTAGATTTATTTTTCTTCTATTTCGATCATAAGCGTCTAATTTACACATTTTCCCTATTTTGTCTGCCAATTTTTGACATTTCTGGCAACTATGGAGTTTTTACTCAAACAAGTTACCCTTGTTCGATGTCACCAAAATATAATCTTAAAAAATGGATTTATCGTCATGCTTAGCATCTCTACTTAGTATTATAAAATATAGTACCAATGAAATAATAATTTTTATATGCGGCATAAAAAAACCCTGCCTGAAGGAATCTTTAGGTGTTAAAGGCGCCGAAACTCTTTGATGTCCTCGCATACACATTTTTAAAATACAAAATGTATGTCTTAATAAAAAGTGTATAGTAATAAATACCTGTATGTTTATGTTGCCAGTATAAGTGTCAAATATCTATTTAAATTTATTACCATACCCTTTACCATGAATCAAACTTATACATGCAATGAACACGTTGCTATGGTAGTTCCATGTACAGGCAATTTCCTAATACGCTGCACAGACAGGTATTTGCACGATCTACGCGGCCAAAAGTCCCAACAAAATAACAATAACATTCTTAATAACGAGTTCCACGAACGGAGGACGAATCCGGGAACAATACCCACAATACCCATGCCCATCTACCTGCTACCTCGCACCCCCCAACCCTAGCGTCATTCAGAATTTGACCGTTTTACCTAGTGTACGTATCTGTTTGTTCTCGGTGCTTTTCTAAACGTTAAAACTTCTAAAGTGAATTTTTATGTTAAGTTCTACTTACGAATTAAAAGTGATGGATTCTGATGGACAAGGTAAGAAACTTCCAAACTACATTAATAAAGTCATGATTATCCATTATACAATATAATTTTTTTATAACAAAAAAAAATCATTTTTATACAGTGATTTCCTTAAATATTTTTTTATTCTAGTGTTTTTGTTTATGTATCGGGGTAGATCGAGCTATAGTTATCATTATATGTTATTATATGATCTTTTCCTTATAAATGCTAACAAAAACATCTCCGGAAACGTCCGGATAAATACAGCTTTGAGGCATTAATTAAAGATATTTGGCAATATTTCGTATAAAATTGGAAATGTTTATTAGCTGCTTTTAACAGTGACCCGACAATACTTATATGACCGCATGACGACAGAAAATGTGCCTAATGTAAATGCCAAATTAAACTATCTAAAAGATCAACTTTTGTCATGTGAAGGTTTCAATGAAGATCAAATTATTAATTTGAAACGTGGTTTTGCCCATTTCAAATAAGAAATTAAACAAAGATGGACCAAAGCTCATTATAAAGAAGATAATTTTATAAAATACAACCGATCTGGAAAGTACTTTTGAAATACCTGTCGTTGGGGCTTCACAAAAACGGCCAGGTCGACCATCCAAATCATTTGAAGACGCAAGTGAGAGAAGCAAAAGACCAAAGACTGAAGAACCGCGTTCTAATTTTGAAAAGGAGATCATAATACATGCTGCGAAAATCTGGTAAAAAAGATGCATCAAATGTCTTAAAAAATATCACCAGTTCTCCGACACGAGCAACTAAATATAAAAAGGCTTATCTTACGAAATCAAGTAAAGAGCACTCCTTGACACCGATGCAAGCTTTGCAAATGTTTATAGATGCCGATTTGACAGTACGAAATCATAAGAAAAACCAATAAGAAGTTTTTTCCGTGCTATAGTGCATTACAAAAATCCAAAAAGAAATGTTATCTACCTCAAGAATCGTTAATGGTAACGAGTACCAGTGACGAAGCTCAGTTACAGCCTCTAATGGATGTTACCGTTAGGCGTTTATCGGAGTACCTAGAAGAGGTATTAATAACTTTAAAGGAGAAAGAGCGTGATTGCCTAACTATAATTAGTAAATGAGACTGCGATGGATCTCAACAATCACAGTTCAAACAAAAACTAGAAAGTGACATTGATTCGGATTCAAGCATATTCCAAAGCTGTTTTGTGCCTCTTCAATTAGTTTCTGGAGATAAAAATGAAAAAGTTTTATGGAATAATCCAACGTCCTCTTCGCCGCGATTTTGTCGACCAATAAGATTCCGTTTTATCAAGTAAACTAATGATGTAACTGAAGAGGAAATAACACACGTCAAAAGCGCTATTACCTCTTGAGACCCAACAGAGGTCGACCTAGGAGGGAAAAAGTTGTTAATCAAGCACAAATTTATCATGACCATGGTAGATGGAAAGGTCTGCAATGCAGCTACAGTCACAAAGTCTACGAGTAGGTGCTACATATGTGGGGCAACCTCGAAAGATTTTAATAAATTGAAAAAATATAGGGGAAGAAAATCGAAAGAGGAGAAAGACCTAGAAGATCAAACCAAAAGAGAGGTTCCGCACTGAAACAGGTTTACTAATAGATATGCCTAAATCCAATTTCGGGAATACAAATGATGGAAATACTAGCAGAAAGTTCTTTGAGAATCCCACATTAGCTGCAGAAATAACTGGCATTAGCTATAAACTGATATACAGACTAAAAGTCATAATGGAAGGAATTTCAAGCGGATTTGAAATTGATCCGGTAACTTATGAAATATATGCTTCAGAAACTGCTCGACTTTATGTTAAGTTGTATGATTGGCATCCTATGACGCCAACAATGCACAAGATTTTAGTGCATGGTGCAGTCATTATTGAAAAGGCATTGTTACCAATCGGACAGCTTTCCGAGGAAGCAGCTGAGGCTCGCAATAAACATTTCAGAAGCTACGGACAAGATTTTGCGAGGAAATTTTCCTGGGAAAGTTGTAATTAGTACATTTTTTATCGCCTTCTGCTTAGTTCAGATCCTGTGCTAAGTAGTATGCGAAATGTAAAAAAAAAGGAAAGCAAAAACATTTTTGCCTGAAACCTTGGCCATGATTGTATCTGCAGAATCCCATATTGAAAGAGGAAGTTCATTAGAGAGCGACGAAGAAAGTCAAGAAACAACAAATTTTTTTGCCGACCTAAAATTTTGTATTTTTTTGTAAATATATAATTATTTTTAGAAAGTATATAAATTTGTTGTAAAAATAACTTATTTTATTTATTTACGTTGTTTAGATACCAAATAAGCAAAAAAATAATTTTGGCCGCGTAGATCGTGTAAATACCTGTATGTGCGCTGTAGATAAAAGAAAATGTATCTAAAGTAAGCCATTACAAACATGGCTGCGGTTACAATAATACTGTGGTTAAATGGCAAATCCAAATATGTTTGAAAAGTTAAAAACAAGTAAACAAGCAATGTGATTTTGTTCACTTCCAAATACTGAAAATATGCCAAATATGCTATTGAAGATGCACAGTATATTCATACAGGAAAAATATTCGTATATCATATTGTTTTGCTAACGTATAGAAGTGCATAAAATACAGCAGGTGGTATGTAAATGTTAAAATGGCCAAACATTGACAATGCTTTTGCCATTTATTCTCTTTTCGTATTGATATTTGCCGTCCATGATCTACTTTAGAAATATTATTTTTTGTATCACACGGTTTATACCACATCCAGAGCATCAATCTTAGAACAGCCAGTGTAGATGTTAAAAGTCTTCAATAACTAAGATTGTTTTAATATGTTAAATTGCCTTGTAAATTTCATCAAAAACAAATAATTCATGTTTGATTACTGCAGTGGAATCCCTTACGGAGCTTCATGCCAAACCACAAGCAACGCCTTAAGCTCGCTACTCATAGTGCGTGATGAGGTGCGATTCGTTGATGCAGTGCATGATGTGCGTTTAACATCGTAAGCAGAAGAATTAATCATCAGCCTCCTACGCATAGTGCGCGATGCCATGCGATGGTGTGATTCGTTAGTGCAGTTGCAGTGCTATGTAGTAAAAGAACTGTTGTCGGACATTTGTCTCGCATCGGCACGACAAAACATCACAATGCGCGATTCGTCGATGTGTGCATCATTTTGTTTTGTTCGTCCAAAAACCGACATCCCGTGGAATCGCCGCACAACGCATTGCCTCATCCTCACTATGCAAAGATTCGTGCATTAATGAATCACATCGACGCATAACGAATAGTGAGTAGCGGGCATTAGTGAGTAAAACGCGTTAAAAGTTTTACGTAGTAATATGGAGTGATCAACAATAAAATGTTTAAGTAGATAAAAAAAATCGAAGAGTACCACAGTGTGTAAACTACTACGGTGGTCAACTACCGTTGACAAGTAGTGGAAGTGTTATATCATAAAAATACAACGCAATGTGACAGAAAGTATTCTGGTGTTTGTATGTTAGCTTTTTGGAAAATTTGCGATTTTGTTATTGCCGAGTGGTAATTACAATATTTGCAGTTTAATTTGTAATCTCCAAACTAATATTACGCCGAAATAGTATCAGTTCAATCAGTGGCGAATGGTGCATAAGTTCTGTAGAGCTGCAGAACTGCGAAAAAGTGCAAGTAACTTATCTACATTTCACAGAAATTATTTTAGACTTGCTAAAGTATATGTAAAATAACTTGTATGAATAATCTCATTAATTTTAATTGCACGCGAACATATCCAACTGTCAGTTCATGGCTGGGAATAAGTCCAGAGCAGACCAGTGGAAGACTTAACAAAACCTCGCCAGGTCATATTCATCTCTTAGATGGGTATCTTCGCCTCACCTCCCACGACTCTCTAAAAAGTAACACCGTGACAGTGTTTCTTGCAGAACACCCAATGTCTTTAACCACAGCCGCCACCGAGTACAATTAATCAAAATTAGTCGCACATTTTGTACAGGGCAAGTCAAGAAGTTAGTAGATATACAATGAAAGCTGTTTTCTGTAAAATGTTTTTTAATGCTTGATAATAGTAGACCTAACTAAAAATATATACAGTGTGGGCCACTAAAAACAGTCCACCCCGATATTTGGCAGTAATTATGAGGTTTTAAAAAAATGGTGAAACATGTCAATTTTGAATCCAAAGAAGACATTTTTTTTCGATATAGACGTGTTTCATATGTCAACTCTCTCCCGTCCACGTCCTGAACCACTTCAATTTGATTAACAAAACCGAAACTATTTTAGCATGATATTAATTTAGAAAATATTCTAATGATAAAATGAAATGTATATAACAAAAATTAGAAAATGTAACAGAGTATCATTCTCCATAAGAAAAGTGCGGGTTCCTTTCATTCCGATAAAGTTTATATGAAAGTTGTTTTTTAGATTTCTTCAAAGTGTTGCTAGCCCTTAAAACTGTTTAAATCAACGACGAAAAACTACTAGAATAAGCCATTAATTCATAAGTATGCCCTTGTTTATTGCAAGCAACCGATTGTGTTTTATATTAGGCAGACAGAGCTGTCGTATTAGAACAAGCGGGAGAGCTGCTAAATTGAGGGGATGTTTTGTGCCAGTTTGTTTATCTGAGGTGCGAGCACGCGATTTAAGAACGAATGAGTATTTACGACTACGTTGCTTGCTTTACACTGCTGTTATAATTTGAAATAAATTGCGTATGTTTCTGGAAATCACCTTCAACTATGATAGTTGCAACGAGAAAAATACATTAAACTGATCATAACTGGCTTTAAGAATGCAAATATAATTCCTTAATGTAATTTTTAAAGCCTTTTGTGCGTTTTAGAGCATTATGTTAAGTCAATTCCGAATGTTTAATAAACAATCCTTGTAACAAAACTCTCCCATACTCTCTTATATAATTTGAGATCTATGTGGATAACACCGTGGATGCTTGCAATTCGATTTTTGTAAACAAAATTAGTCTAGTAGTTGTTCGTCGTTGGTTTAAATACATCTATATAGTATCAACTACCTTAATTAGGAAAATTAGGCTTTCGAATAAGGAGGAAAAATATTTAAATCGGTTTCGTAGATCTTGAGGTTCCAACTAAAAAGAAAACCAAGTTTTTCAATATTGATTAGAATCTTCAGTCGAACCAATTTCAGTTAACACATTTTTTAAATATATTCTAATGAAAACGAATAAACTGTCTTTGTTAACCGGAAAGAATTGCGTTATCCATTTTTTAAATCAGTTCTAGATTAATTCACTTTTAAATACATACAATGGCAACACAACTTAGTTTAAAATGTAGTAAAAAAGTATTATATTTTCTTACCTTTAACTAGAGGATTAATTGAAGAGAAAATATTTTAAAAGCATACGAGAAAGGCATTAAATTGTAATTTTCTCTGAAAATTGGTACGGTAATATTTAGCTTTGAACGAAGTCACTTTTTGGATAAAAGCTTTTGGTTTTTAATGCATACTTAAAGTAAATTGTCAAATTTATTTGACGCACGTGTTAGTTTCATCAAAAAGAGGTTACATTATCATGTTAATAGTAATACCTTCTAGATCCAAAGTGAAGATAGAAATAATGAATGAATGGAAAATCATTTTAGTTACAAATTACTTAAACATAGACGTTTAATAAACGATTCTATAAAAAACATTTAACCGAACATTCAATAATATAGATTCTTAGCTACCGAGTTCTAGTAGATCAAATGGCTACTTTTATAATAAAAAAAGAAGAAATTATTTCTAAAGGTGTTCAATAAAAAGATATGTTATCAATTTTCAAGAATTGGGATTGGTTGATTTTTTATTTCAACATTTAGGCATTTCAAAATGCGATTTCAAACAAGAACTGTCGGTGGGAAGGTTTGGTACGTCTAAAGGGTTGCGATTTTTGGATCAAATATGATAAAATGAATCGTATTATTTACGTGACAGACTTTTTATTTATTTGACGTAGATAACCTAACTAATATATAGGTACTGTAAAACTGATACCAGTTCACATAATCAAATTGAAAAATTTAATAAATTACAGATATTTATTATATTATTCCAAAATACTGGTTCAGGTACTACTGGTAGTGCATTTCTTGTTTCAAATACAAATATTGAAATTGTCCTGTTTCTGTTCTATAAAGCTGAAGTATATGCGATTCTAAAAGGCCAATGATTGGTGCAAAGCAAATTCGTTTCAGAATGTCGTTATAGTGTCAGATTCCCTATCAGTTCTGCAGGTTATTAATAGACCTTCCATGAATACAAAATGCAGCAATATATTACATTTTCTTTTTTGTTTGAACAGTGTAGCTCTAAAATCCTCTTGGTTTGTGTTAAAGGATATTGCGGTATTGCAGGAAATGAATCTGTGAATAATGCTGCTAAAGAAGAACATAGTTTAGAACAAATAACATTTTGTAGGTGTCCTATTAGTGCGTAATTGCTAGATATTTTAATTATTTGTGTTATAGACACGCAAACAAGTTTAAAATAAAAGTTTTATGGATTTGAAAAATACATATTTTTGAATATACGTGGTGTTACGGTTTTTGCTTGGCAAATAAAAATGTAAATTTTAAATGGAACGCCCTATATTTTATTTTAGTTTAAGAATGGTCAGTTAATACTGTATTCAACCCTAGAACATTTTCGATGAATATTACAAAGTTACCAAGCAATTAATTTTTTTGTACAATTAGAGAATGAGCAGATCTAAAAAAAATTATCATAAGTTGAGTAGATTAGCAAAGATTTCAAAATTGTTTAAAATGCGGATTTATAGGATATCAAGACAACGAATAGTGATAGAACTGGTTCATTTTATACAGAAAGTTTTGAAACATGTCTTAAATTTGGCTAATTTTAAGATGAATTTCCCTATTTTTTCAAACGCAACATCCTGTCTATTATTATGGTACGAAATTCATTATTAATTTACCTATCCAACAAAACCAATATGTTAGTCTATTATACATATAGGTACATGGTATCCTATCCCATTGTTCGTAATTGTTAAATAGCTGTTTAATTATTGGATATGAAGAAATGAACATATTTTATAATTACTCTTAAATACAGTATGGTTCAAATGAAAGGAATAAATTCATTATATTGGAAGTAGCTGGTTTTTCGAAAAAAAGCTCGGACAGGTCAATTTTGTTTACTCAAAGCGCAATTTTTTAAATAGAATTCAATTTTCCCCCACTTCCCATTTTTGGGCAGTGACGTCATTGACAATTTTTTTAAATGGTAACCTTAATTTTTTTTCTTGATTTTGATAGATCTTGCAATTTCCTACTCGGAAACATAATATTTGAAATATCTTACATAACAATTTTTTTTGAATAGAAGACATTTAAAGATCAGACACATAAATTTTATTTTATTTTGAGAACACAATAAATGAATAAAAGATAATTATTTGTAATTAAATGCTTAATCTAACAAAATAATAATAAAAATAATAATAATAAAAAGAATTTGTGAAATTGTCATTACTTTTTATTATTGTTATTATTATTATTATTATTATTTTTTTAGATTAAGCACTTACAAATAATTATCTTTTATTAATTTATTGTGTTTCAAAATAACATAAAATTTATGTATCTGATCTTTAAATGACTTTTTTTCAAAAAAAATTGTTATGTCAGATATTTCAAATATTATGTTTCCGAGTAGGAAATTGCAAGATCTATCAAAATCAAGAAAAAAAAATTGGGGTTGCTATTTAAAAAAATTGTCAATGACGTCACTGCCCAAAAATGGGAAGTGGGGGAAAATTGAATTTTATTTAAAAAATTGCGCTTTAAGTAAACAAAATTGACCTGTCCGAGCATTTTTTCGAAAAACCAACGACTTCCATTATAATGAATTTATTCCTTTCATTTGAACCATACTGTATACGTAGTCCATAAATTAGAGGCTGACCAAATTTATACTTTTTTAAACCAAATACCCTGTAGGTATTTACCCATAATAGATTTGATTGTTTTCACATCGTTAAGGATTGCAATCCGGCCTCATTTTCAATTCGGTCGGATTGATCTAACCAGGATACTTAACTTTTCTTGATCTTTCCAACATGGACTGTTAATGAAGTGTAAAAAAACGATACGTATATCGCATACGGAAATCAACTTTATTATGACTAATTTTAAAAAGAGAAAACAATTAAATTCTGTGTCAGAACAAATAAAATCACAAATTAAAAGTCAAAACAATCAAAATCTCAAAAAACCAGTGACTCTATTTTTAACGTAACTGGTGGTTCAGTCTTCTTAGTTAGATTTTAAAGACAAGCTCACAAAGCAAAGATCAATATTGTTAATCAAACTTAGAAACATAACCATAACATAATAATTAACCTTAACTGAGATCACAATAATGTCAATAATTAGCTATTAGAAAATACTATTCAGTTTTATTCTTATATATGACAATTATTATTTTTTAGAATGTTTTAACTCTTTAGTTTTTAAACAAAACGATCTTAGGAAATAAATTGTACCAAGCCAAAGACAAGAATCTCACTGAGCTTAGGTAAACATGCGACAATATTCCAGGCAGAAATAGTAGCAATACATCACTGCGCAAAAGTATTAAGACATAAGGTAAATGGAAAAACCATTGTCATATACATTTAAGCGACGTTAAAGGCACTCAGTTCCATGCAGGTAAACTCAAAGCTTGTGTGGGACTGTTTGGAAGCCCTAACAGAGCGGGGTAGTCAAAACAGACTAACCTTAGCCTGGGTACCAGGCCACAGTGGACATAAGGGCAATGAAGAGGCTAATTTACTAGCCCAAGAAGGAGCCTCAAAGGCTCTTATTGGCCCAGAACCCTTCTGTGGTGTAACAAAAACAACTATCAGAACATGCACAAAGTAGTGGATGTTTAAAAAATCTCAGGAGTGGTGGAAAAACTCTCCAGGACAGAGGCAGGCCAAAGAGTTCATAAAAACCTCATCGCCTAAACTCACCGAGCATCTACTAAGTCTTAACAAACATATGTATAATATCGGCCTGACAGAAGAGACCTTGTGCCGATTCTGTCAGGAAGAGGAGGAAACGGCAGTACACGTATTGTGCTAGTGCGAAGGTCTAGCAAGACTGAGATTCCTTACACTTGGAGAACAATAGCCAAGGGCAACTAGCTATACCGGAGAACTACTTCCCAGTCTGAGTCTACTACAAAAGACCGAATTAGACAAGTTACTCTAAATAACGATTCAAGGATATCCACAATAGATCTGAAAAGGTCGAGGTGGGGGAGGCCACATGGCCCACAGTCCTAATTAAATCTAATCTAAAATTGTGTTGACTGTATCATCTACCAATCGACTTCCGATAGAGGTATAAATGTAGCCTGCGGCCGAGAAAGTTCTCTCAGCTTAATTGCCAGCAAATAATCATAAATAGCAGACAAGTATTCTCCTCGAACTTCTCATTCAAATGCAATCATTTTCTTTTTCAGCGTCAAACGAGTCGCACGCACAAGCACTACGCGTTTAAAATACCTACTCATGCAACAGCGCGGTTATTTTGCCAAAATATGCAAATCACCCGACCGGGTCACGGATCCGGTATATTGGTACCGGATCCGGTAAGTGTATATTAATACCTGATCCGGTTCACCCTCATTATATGGAGCAACCTATATATTTAAGAATAATTGTAAAAAGATGGTCGTATTAAAAATTTCTTCGCACGTCCAGTAATAAAACAGATATCGATCAATTACGCATTGATGGGACACGCTGCATATATAATAGAATAACAAGTTGGTATCATTGAATAGGAATTTCATAACGAATTTAATACTAAAATAATATAGTGTTGGATTTTAAAAAATTTGTAAATTGAACTTAAAATGAGTTATACATGACTTTTTATAACATTGAATCAGTTCTATCAACACTATTCGTTAGCTTGGTATCTTAGGTCTGTATTTTAGGCAATTTTTAAATCAATTACTTAAATTATGATAATTTTATTTGAGGTCTGCATCATTCTCTAATTTTACAAAAAAAAAATAATTGCTTGACAACCCTGTAATATTTTTTAAATATGTTATTATCAGACTATTCCAAAACTAAAATAAAATACAGGTTGTTCTAAAAGCGTAACACCCTGTATATCCAAAAATATTTTTAAAGTAAGCCTTTTTCAAATCCATAAAACTTTCATTTATAGCTTGTTTGCGTGTCTATTGTAACATCGAGTAATTACTCATTAATCGGACATTCTGTATAGATAATATTAACATTTATAAAAAAAGATGTCAGAAACAAATGAGAAATTAAATAAACTGAACATTCGAAGTCATGAAAAGTCACTATTTTGGTATATCCCTAACTATAATAAATATTGGTCATCCATAATTACTCGATTAAAACTTAACCACCGCCGATTTACTGAACATAAAATTAGAATTTCGGATTCTACTTTTTGTCCATCTGCTATGTAAATTATG